GAACTTATCTAAGATGACTTTGCATTACTCCATAAATCAAAGATACAATTCCAAATTGAATGATGCCATACACCGACCAAACAAATACACTGCTTGTACCACTATTCAAGCAATACAACGGAAAAGCATTTTATTGGGAATAAAGACAAATCGAAATACAACCCTTTGCAGTCATCTTTACCTTTTCCCGAGAAATATCTATGACCATGGGAGTGTTGCTTCCAACTGCATATTATCAGGACCAGTATTTCCTTGATATATGTCATACTACAGATTTGTCTTTGGTTTCCCACCTGCAGGAACACGCCGCGAAACAGATCGCATGGTCACAAACTCCTCAGCTGCAGAAGGATGTATGCCCACCTGTAAGAAAGAGTTCAAAAGACTTGCTCGGTAAGTGCATACTTAAAAATTACAATAGAGTGTAGAAGGAATTCTACAAAGGGGGTACAAGTTGGGATTGCCCAGGGCAGATTATTCTTGAAGAAAGAAAAGTCCAAAATCTTGTCCTCCGTGAATAAAGGAACTAATCATATTTGGAAAGAAACAGTTTTAAAACGAGCAGCCAATGATTATCTTATTGCTTAGATTGCAAATTATAAGTCTGCTTCTACAACCCAGATGGCTATAACCACATCCTCTTATCCACCTCCAAACATCCCTTTAGCAAAATAATAATGACAACAAGAAGAATGTCAAAGCTTTGCTCATATTAACACAGAGTTGATAGCCTACGGCCTAAAACCATTGCTGCTTATTGCCCTTAGATAAAATGGAGCTGAAGAAACACCTTTAACAAGAATTGGTTCAGAATACCCAATTCAGCCAAGAATATTAATTCAGACTGAAAAGTATAGTATTGGAGGGCATAGTCAAACCAGAAGAGACGTCTAGCTCTAAAGACAAGTTCAACTTACCGTGCTGTCAAATTGTGCCTTCGTTGCTCCACACTTCAGTGCAACAGCAATCCCCTAAACAGTACAACCAAAATTAGAACATATGAGTTATCATTTTCAGGTTTACAACATGCAGTGCAGTTCACCTTATGCTTAAAGCAAGACAAAACTATGCATAGGGCCATCAGGACTACAACATTCAGCATAATTCACCATATTCCTAAATGCAGCTTATTGCAAGACAAAGCCAGCATAAGGACATCAGGCCCATCTATCTTTGCCAGTTGCATCATATTTTGGCAAATAATAGGATCCAACAGCAATAACTGTCAGCGTAATACAGTGCATCTACATTCTACTGCAAGATGCAAGGTCTGTAAGAAGTCTGTGTGAACTAGAAACCCTTTTGTAATCAGGCTTTTCAATATTCTCTACTGCTTGAATTATCCATCAATGACAGAAGACATGATCATTCTCGGATAAGAAAATATTCTCTTAAAGCAAAACACACTAGCTCAATCCAATAAAGTTTGTTAGGGCCATGCCACAATTTACACTATGCGCTTGCAAAAATTCGGCAGTGTTACCAATGTTCCCTACATTCATATTGTCCACAACAATCTTGTATTTAAATTACACAAGGCATCAATATATACATTGACACGTGGAGATATGCATGCACATCAAAAGAACCAACAAATAAAGTACCTGCATAATTTCGGGTGCATCTGGCCCACACATAGATGCCCCAAGAACTTTATCTGTCTCCACATCAACAACTAACTTCATTACTGTCTTTTCTTGCCGTCTAGAAGCAGAAAAAAAGAAATTTATGAATTGCAAAGAAAGCAAAATATTAGTAACATAGATATATGAGAATCACACATGCGGCTGCTGATCAAATGGACAAGGAAAGGATACATTAACCTCTGGAATAGTGGAATATTTTAGATTCTTAATTGACATTTTATTAAATAAAATAAAGAATTCTGAAAAGCATTTTAGCTGGCAAGGAAGCCACTTATAGAAGAAGCCAGAAATGAATAACCCCAGCACATCCCAAATCAATAAAAAAACAATAAAAATATTGAAGATTAACCCTTCTGTCATCATCTTCATCCCAGTGAATCCTTTTCCTAGCAGGCTGCATAGATATCATGAAAGCACAACCATTTCTATCTAAATAGAATGCAAAATAGTATCTCCATAGCCATGTTGCACGAGTTCTTCAATTTACCCTGCACTATCCATGTTGGACACCTTAAATTTGTGGGTTTGACACTTTGATCCTTGATATTAATAAAAATGCTTGCATAAAAAAATGATGTCTCTAAGTCTGAAACCAAATCCCAAGTCCACATAACCTAGCCCCAAAAGTGAAAGATAGAAATGAAGACATATAACTCAATTGGTGTAGGGGGTCTTTAGAAAAATAGGAAGGGGCAGAAGGATCAGGGACAAACATGGCTGCATTTTTGTTTTATGCAATAACATCTCAAATCATCATCATACCCAGATATAGTATTCTTCATTGGATTGAAGGTTGATGTGAAAACCAGAACATCGCCATTTGCTTTCTCAATTGCTTGCTCTTCACTGAGACCAACAACAGAAAGTGGCGGTATGCTGCAAAATAGCAAAGCAACTTAGCGATTAATATACCAAAAAGTAAAGCTTCAAAGGGAACGTGTTATAACAAATTAGACACTAGTTGCACCAAAAGATAGAATATGTGCATGTGTCCAAGATCAAATGAGGTACTCAACAAAAAAAATTGTACAATCCTCCGAGTGGATAAAAAACCTTATAACTTCAAAGAAGTCTAAATTCTATAGTCCTCTGAAGAAACAGATTCAAATACGGTTCTTCATGACCACTTCAGTATATTTTAATGTAAATTATTACATATGCACACCAAACCACCTCCAAAAGGCATGGTGTAAGAGAGCAATCATTACCTAAACACAGCACACGGTATATTGCTGTAGTCTGGTTTGCTAGATTCCCCACCAAAAACAGTTTTCTGCAATCATTTTCCCAAAAAGAAAAATAATCAGAAAGGAACATGAACACAAAAAAAAAAAAGAAGGAAGTTTAACATGTAATCATGTGTGATTGTTAAAAGTGGAACAAAAAGAAAAAACCATGTTCAATACAGGAAAAATAAAAGGGCTTCAGACAGAACACTTACAGCAAAGCAAGTTCCCTCCATTAAGGCCACTGGAGTCAGGTTCATTCGATTTGTAACATCACCAACAGCCCATATACTGGGAATATTAGTGCGTGAGTACTCATCCACCTGCAAGATGAAGATGGACAGGCCTCAGTACTCTAATCAAAATTCAACTTCGTCATGTAACTGTTGTTTTCAGACAATGTGGGAGAACTCATTCAAAGCAATTAACATAAATTAAGCCAAAGAAATAGAACATCAGAAATCATGTTGTTAGTAACATCAATCATAATGATATCATAGCCAAACCAGTTGGCATTGTCCATAGACAATCCAGTCAGCAGATGCCAACTTATTTCCAGAAAAAAATTTAGTAATGTTCAATAATACAAGAAATGAGAATAAGAGAAGACAGAAGAAGTAACCTTCACAGCTCCTGTTTTGTCAAGTTCAACACCTACAGCTTCCAAATTCAACCTTTTTGAGTTTGGTACCCTGCCTGTAATAAACAAAAGAAGAACATCACCACACTCACAAACTTACAACAAATAACTCTCAAAACAAAATGAGTATGCTCTCTCTGATATAGCAGGCCATCAGTATACAGGTTTGCGAAAATATATCAAGTTCAAACGCAGAACATTTTCAGATATAAACAAACTTTCAATAATATTAGCCAGGACTTTCAATAGCATGACTAAGTACTTATATAAAAGTGCACCAATTATTAGCAAGCCGTTCAAAATTTACCTAACCACTTAAAAAGAAATAGAGCAGCAGAGTAAAATTTAAGGTCAATAATTAAATGTATTTGCTTTTGGAATTCCACAAAGAATAATAATTAAAACGAACATGTGAAGCTCGATATTTGATAACATCTCACAGATAATAAATATTGCTATTGCATGTAAGTTTCATCAGCCAGATCAAGGGATTGGTGACTGACCAGAAAATACGCATTTATCATGGAGAACATATACACATGAGAGCGAGAGAGAGAGAGAGAGATTTCAAAGTGAAAGCTAACTGGCAATTTTATGAACAATTGAATAAACAACAAAGCAGGCACAGGAAATGTGCAGGTCTCTAAAACAATCACCACAAGACTGTACATAATGCCACTAAGTAGCAATGGCATTAGAACTGATAGTGAACCACGAAGGGTGAAAAGCTAACTGTTATTGCTAAAACGGTGCACAGGGAACTCAAACCACTAAGCAGCAGAATGGCTATTGTCATTCAACCCAGAAAAAGAAAAAGCAGGCCTTTCAGACATCAATATTGAATTCCACAAAATATGGAGATAAAAATAAAACAGAATAAACTGAATGACAGGACTATGGAAGTGGTGAAAAAAATTGCTTGGAAACCTAAAAGAGATTGCAAATTACCTGTAGCAAAGAGTACAACATCTGCTATCAACTCTTCACCATGATCTGTAACAACTTTTATGCCATTATCTGTTTTAATCAACTGAATTCACGTGTATTAGAACATACATCAGTACAAAGTAAAACATATTGATGGAAAATAAAAGAAATGCAAACTGAACAGAATTTGCAATTGAGTACCTCAGTCAAATTTGTCCTTGGGTGCAAATTAATTCCCCTTCCTTCCAGATTTCTTGCTACCACTGCCCTCATTTCATCATCAAATCCTCTGTAGCATAGATGCATAAAATTATTAGTCACTCCTAGTCTTCATCAGGGTCCTCTCTTGAAGACATAAAGCCCACCTCATCCTATTAAATAGCAGTCTGGGTAATCTTCTTAAGAACATCTTTAGAGTCTTTAGAAAATATTACCAAGTTCCAATAACAGACTATGATAATGCAAATTTCTAGATGAAATGCCAGCATAAACATCACAAGTACATACAAAGTCTGAAGCAGAAATTTCTTAACACTTTAGAAGAACATATCTAAAACAATTACGGTCACCATAAGACTTATAACAAACATCAAATGAAATTAAATAGAGGATCAGATCTAAGGACTCTTATGAAATACCAGAAAAATCTGGCAGTAATAAATAAAATCTGACAGACTAATAACCTCAATGGAAGTTCCTTTCTGAAAAAGAGATCTACAGTAGCACCCAAGCCTCGCCATATTGATGCAAACTCAACAGCAATGTACCTGGACAGGAAGAGTACATATCATCTGAAGGCATTAGCAAACTGAGCAGAAGAAAAGAACAAACAAGCAATCAGGAGATCTGCCATACCCTCCTCCCAGTACAACAGCACGCTTAGGTAAGTCTTCCAAACTCAATGCTTCATCAGACGTAATCGCCAACTCCTAAAATGTCAAAAAGAGGGAGAATTAAAAAACATGAAAGGAAAATGCTAACAGCGATATCTTATTTGAAAACATATCAAATATAGTAGCCAGTTTCAATCTGTCCATAAATTAAGTTTGGTCATATTTCTGGCACTAGTAACAAGTAATGCACTATGAAGCAATAGAAGCATCCAGCGAGTGAAACTAAAAGTATAGCCCATAGTTTGTTGGAAAGCTATGTATAATAGGATTCACTCTAACAATAGAAAGATTGTGAAAACCTTATGTTCAAAAATAATGACATTGAAATCAATCTTTAGTCTCACTTAAAACGAACACATCACAATGATGTAAAATAAACCAAACCTAAAGGCTGGCAATCTACATAAATAAAATTGGTGGTTTTGATAGGAAAAAAAAAATAGAAGTCCTTCATAATTAGCCAGACTGTATACTAAATAATATTATCTGTGAAGCTACCATCTTTCCCATATGTTTAAATATTGCATCTACACATGCTGCTAGTGCTACCAAAATTTACATTTAATTTAATGGGGCCCAGCTAAAAGTTTAGCTTAAAAGCAATTAATATAAGTTTTCACTATTTTTTTTTTTTGAAATTCATATAAGTTTTCATTCTTGAATCACAAGTATGGCAGTTATAAAAGGTTTGTTTATACGAATATTTGGTTCAAATATAAGAGAAGCTAATTTCATCATAATCTAGCTACAAGTAGTATAGGATACCCAATTCATTGTGCTGAATCAAATTTTGATCATTCTAGAGGGAAATCAGTCTATATACCTGCCCAGGAATAGGAAGACGATGTGCCCTGCTGCCAGTTGCAATCAATATGTGCTTCGCTGAATAGGACAATTTGGTGCCATCTAGTTGTGTCACCTCAACTTCATTTGGACCTACAATCTTTCCCTCCCCTTCAAATGATTTAACGCCAGCATTTGACAATAACCGCTTGTAAATTCCATTTAATCTGATTATTTCATCAGTCTACAAGTACAAAAGGTTGGAAAAAAAATTTTAAAAAAAATAATAAATATATAAAAATTTGAAATAGAAGGATACTACAAAGCACCTTTTTATGTAGAAGCTTCTTCCAATTGAAATCGAGATTCTCATTCACTTCCCATCCATAATTTCGGGCATCCTACAAAGCAAAAACCATACACTTATCAAACACTGAAGCCAATTAGCTAACTAGAAACCACAGATTACTACACACTAAAATACAACAGAACAGAAGTTTTACAAATAATTCTTAATAGAAAAGAAGGGGAAAAATAGACTAACTGAACATCAAATTCAAGAATATTAATGACAATCTAACATTTTTTTCTGTGATCAATACTATGCTTCTTATAAATTTGATTGCCACTGTGTCACTCATATATTTAATTATTTTAACAAAAAGAAAAATAGAGCAATAACAAGATGAAAAATTCTCAATCATTTCAAATAAGCAGCTAAACCAAAATGGAAGTCTTGTGAGGGCTCAAGCAACGTTGATATTGTCTCCTGTCGGAGAAGTCATAGCATGAAAAAATCTATTTTGTGGGTCAACTTATTTCCTTCTGAATAGAGCCAAATTCAAAGGTATGAAAGATTTCTGACGACTTTGGAGGGCCTATGGCAAAAAGCTATATGTGGCTCCAACCATCACATAAGAAGATACTAAAAAGAACCCTAGAGAATTCCCTACATTCTTGAATTATGTACAAATTCATAAGCCAATATCTTGATGCGCCAAGATAGTCACAAAGAAATCTCTCACAGAAGAAAATTTCCCATAAAATTATCATTCAGTTACAAATTTGCCATCAAATGTGATTCTAATAGGGATCACAGTGTCACCTCAATTTCACCTCCGTATGCTGCTCCATAGACCAAAATCTTTTTGGGAACACAACCACGAATAACACACCTATGATACAAAATGTGACACAGCATTAAAGAAAACATGCTGCAGCAAAACTAATTAAGTTATAAAATTGATCAACTTACGTCCCACCAACTCCTCCAATGACTTCTGAGCTAATTGGATGAAATGGGAGCTCACATATCCCAACCTTCAAACATGACATTTGAAACAATTAATAGATAGATAACTATACAACAATCAAATTCTTAAGCTACAAAATGAATATTTAGAGAAGAAAATTATAGAAAACAATGATAAAAGAATCATAATGAATTCCAAAAAAATGCAGTTGAACAAAAGCAAGTAGCCAAGGACTAATCCTCCATCAAGCCAAATAGATTATGCATGAATTTATCAATCAAAATTAAATAAATGAACGAAACTATCAAAATAACAAAAAATACACAAAATAGTCAAATAGCATTGATTTTTTTTTTTGTAAAAAAAAAGACAGTTCCCTATTTTAAACAAAGTAAACAATTTAGATTCAATTGACCCATATTGACTTCAAAGAAATCATAGGATACACATTTCCTACTTCTGCGTAGGCCACCCACCCACTGACTCACCACAAAAATGTGATAAATGACAACCTAACATAATTTTTTTCCCTCGTTTTCAACTGTTTGGTAACAAGCAATTAAACACAGGTAATTCCTTCCAAAGCAAAATCTTAAGTACTTCAATATCCTACTCATCAACCTTGCTTGTTAGTGAATATGTGGATCCAACGCATCGAATATCACAAATTTTAGAATCGATTACCGCATTTAATTTATTAAAATAATATTTCTAAAGCTAACACACTAACAACGTGCCGTTTCTCGAATTAATTCGATTTGCTTAAATTAACAGAGGCATAGAAATTGGAATACCTTAGCTCCATAATTAGCAGAGAACCTCGCAGCTCGAACGCCCCCGCTTCCAGCACCGATAACAAACAAGTCGAAGTCATAGTGAGCCTCCTCTGCGTTCGTTTGGCTCAATTCTCCATCAACTAACATCTTCCTCGCCATGATTGCTTCAAATCAAATAACAAACCCAAACACTGAATGCAAAAATAAAACAGGAAGAAGATAAATAAGCGTCAACCTCAGTTACGTTCCTTCAAAAACGAAGCAAATAAAAGCATTGATTTTTGAATGATTTTTCAAATTTAAAAAAAAATAAGAAAGAAAATGACCTGAGTTAGTGGCGGTGGAGATTGGGAGTAAAGAAGGATTGATTCTTTAGGGTTTTAGTAAGAATGAAAAAGAAATAACGAAAAGCTTTATGCGATTTATATGGATGAAAAAGAAGCACGAGAGGAGAAGAAATGAACTGAAATGAAAGAAACCAGAGAGGCACAGCTTGGCTTGGGTGTCTGGGTCTGAAAGGTTGGCCTTCTCACATACGGCGTTTTAATGCTACTGTCTATTCCTGGGCTCCAACTCCAAGCCATTTTCCTTTTAAATCTTTTTTTTAATTTAAAAAATGGAAAAAAATAGGGAAATTATGTGCAGCGAATTTGTTTTACATGGTATCATGTTAATACCGTGTTAAATATGATGTTTTCTCATTAAGACATCTCTCTTGAAACAAAAATATTAACCAATTAAAAAATGTGAGAAAAATTCTTTAGAAGAGAAATTAGTAATGAATGGGAGTCCAATATAAGAAAATAGTAATAAAGTTGACGGTGACCATTATTGATGAACCTACCAACCATTTTGCTGAGACAGAGAGGAGAATAAAAATTTGAGTACGATCTGCTGCAGGTCGAGAGATTCCAACCTATCACTAGCTATATAATAAAATATAATATGAGTTTGCATGAGAACAAGAGATGGAAATTTAATAAGGAAATAGTATTAGAATTAAATGATATAGATCTACCCTGTAAGTATGTCATTTATTATACATTTTTCACTATCTATAAAAGGATTTTTACCATTTGATTGCGTATCAAAGTTTGGCACCCAATCATTTAGATCAATGAGAATAAGTTTTTCACTCTCTCTTTTTGTCTTTTATCACGGGCGAATTGACCTTTCTGGTTAAGAATTTCAATTCTGGCAGTGGCCGTTCAAATTTGGCCTCTGTATAAAATATGGAGCAGAGGTCAACACGACGACTTTTGTTTGGAGACCTCCAAGGCAGGAAAGGGCAATTTCCCAAGTAATTTATTGAGTCAATGAATTTGAACAAGAACTGCAATTCAAAAAAAAAAAAGTTGAACAAGAACTGATTCTGTATTTAACCTATTTTTCTGTCGACATCCATTTACAGTGTTCGGTCAAAGTTCCTCCACAATTGCGCGTCTGAGTCTTTCTGCGCCCATCGTGGCGATGTCAATATCGGATTTATTGCGGATCAAAAGTTCCCCAACTTGCTTAAACTCTGGGACCAATCGATAGGATTATATAGGCTCCTTTTCTATATTTTTGGTTTTCACCGCGATCATTTCCTTATCTTTTCTCCTTTTTGTATACCCTACATATTCCCAAGTGAAGACAAATGCCATGTGACAACAAAAGCAGACCGGAGCACACATACTGTTTCGATTTGATTCCCAGTTTTGTTCGTTTAACAAAAATAACTTCCACCAGAAATGAACTTTCAGGAGTAAATTCACTAAGGTATTTTGCATTCAACAACTTCCACCAGAAATGAGCTTTCAGGAAGTCAGGTAATTAAGGGAAGTTCAAATCAATAATACTAATAACTTAGAAGCATAAAATGACATGTAAACAAGCAAAAGAATTCAAACTCCTTGTGAATTTGGGTTCTCTGTACTCCTCCAGTCGCTACAGATAGTTGCCTAATGTGTTCAAATCCGCTTAGCATTTCCAGCAATGTCAATGATTTTTTGCTAATATGGAAAAAAGAAATTCACATTTTCTTAATAAGAAGAATGTGCTGCAAAGAATTGACTCTATCTATGACTGCTTTTTTATTGCAGCCCAACTTGTTATTCCCTGACCCGTAATAGATAAAGCTTCCTTGAACCTGCCCCAGCTTTCGATTCTATGGGAAAGGGTTAAAGGAAATGACTTAATGAACAGTTTTGTTTACATATACATAAATATGATGCTTAGCATGTACATTGCAATACAGAATTTCCAAAGCACTTTGCTTTATTTGCAATTTTTCTAACTCCTGTTTCGGTAAGAGACAAGGAAAATGTTGCGGGAGAAATGAGGATTCTGTCCATCATATTTACCTTTGGGGCGTCAAGAATTGCTTTAGGTATAGACAGTGCCCATTGCATACTCCATATTGCAAGAGGCCTCATGTATATAAGAGATCGGAAGTGCCCATCAATCGTCCATCCTTCTGGAGTCTGGAACCAGTATCTGTGTACAAAAGAAAACGGGAGATAAATAGTGATTCTTACAGCACAAATCATTTAAGCAACACCTTCCAAAGGACAAAACGTAGGAGGTAAAGCCACAGTGAAATTAACAATTTATCAATGGTTATACTCAGAGAAGGTAATTAATATTATCAACAGTAGAAGCAGTTATAGGAGTCCAGATATATCTGTTTCACTGGGATTGCTGAGACAAGGTTAGACTTTTATATGGTAAGAGCTGTTTTAATATAAGAAGAATCAACATTCTACGTTCTCCTGATAGAATATCATTCTAATTATTCAACCCTTATCAACAGTGATCACATCTTAAAACTTTTTCTGTAAGGGATTCAGATAGCTCAGTCTAGATACCTGTCAACATCATTCACTTGAGAAGTACATTTTTTATCAAGAAATGTTTTTCCAACATAAACTTCAGCGTTGTTTCCCACATGACAAAAGATGCATGTTATGAACTATGAAAACCAGTGTTTCTAATGGAAATGCAAATTGATTATCATCATTCTTTTGCATAACTGTCACCATTTTTGGCATCTAAAACATCATGTAAGGAAATAAGAGATCATACTAAACACTTACCCATAGCCCTCTTCTGACCAGCCTGCAATGAAAATACCTTCAGCTGTAGTGAATGCCTCTTCCTCCATTCCAGCCAGAATCATATTAGCCGCCACAGCATAGGTAACACCTGTCCATATTTCACGTGACTGCATGCAAGACTCATCCACCTTTCCATTGGGATGCATCCCATTTACAGCACCCATCCTACCTCCTTTAACTTTCATTACATTGAAATCATATATTTTCTGAAGAGCACTCCTTGTCTTGAACTCATCAAAAAGTGGAGGCAAGCCTGAAGACGCTGTATACCATTGCCCTGCCAGTTGGTCTGCTTGTATCGACTTACTATTACTACTTGACCCACTGTCGTAGTTGAAATAGGAGCCATTCCACAGTTTTTTTTCAAAAGCTGATTTTGCGCCAAAAAACTTGCTTTTGCATGTTTCAGCAAAGAACTTGTCACCTACCTGCAGGGCCATTGCAGCAGCAGCTTGAAGCGCAGCAAGCCACAAGCAACCGCAGTACGCACTTACACCGTGAACAGTCCAAGTATCATATGTTTGATCTGGAAATCCATCATTTTCAATGAGGCCATCATCGTCTCTATCAAATTGTTCCATATATTCCATTGCAGCACGAACAGCAGGCCAAACATCAACACCAAATGCCATATCTCCTGTGGCAGCAAAATCTCTGTACACTTGAAGCACAAACTTGGGGTTTAGATCCTTCCATTTGCTTGTGTCATGTATGTTATAGGCATTCATTTCATTCCAAGGATCATGAGTCCCTAGATCATGAGGAATAGCTCCTCTAACCTTGCGAATTCCGTAATTACCCTCTGCTAGAAACTTCACTTTTCTTCCATCCTCACATAAAACAGCTTTGGCAAAGTCACGCTGAATATTGAGTTCAATCTTGGGAAAAAGCTCAAGAAGGGCAAACGATGCATAGAAGTGTACATCATAAGTGCACCACATGATATATTCAACTCCTTCCAAGTACAAAAACCTACCAACATCATCACTATCATCTTGTTGGTCCTGCAATTTCAAGTGATGCGGGAAGTAGTTGCTGCTTCCCTTGTTCTGAGAAATAGCTGAATCACCATTATTTTTTAACCCAACACCAGTAGAACCATTACAACCACTGGTACTAGTATGTTCAAAAACAGTATTATGCCTGAAGTTCACTTCATCTTTAGTTACTTTTACATCCATGCTTTCTACTTTTGTTGCTGGATCTTGATCACTCTTCACATTTATAGATGGCAAAGAAGAATCTGCACAGTGGATAAATAAGTTATATCTAGCTTTAATTACCAAGATGTTGTTACAAGTTGTTGCCGATACACAAGATGCTATAAGTAAATATGCACTGTACAACAGGATGCCAATATTAGTTTAAGCTAAACCAAGATGTAAAAGAGTGGGCAGTTACTATAAATACCAATCCAAACTGTTCCACCAGCAACCAAAAAGTAGAGCTCATTAAACAGTGTGAATTTGTACCTGAAAATAAATGACAAAAATTAGCTAATTACTATGAAATATCAACAAATATCTACGACTAAACACCTAAACCACACCCCCCGCCCCCCTTTCCCCCCCAGCATGCACCCTTATCTGGTAGCAAAGTCCTTGCTTATAAGCATCAAATAACAATATCAGTCCAAAAGTACACTGCAATAATGCCGTGTTTGTGAGACTAATATCTGCAGCACAATGGTTGTGCAGCTTCAAAAGCATTGACCAAATTGCCAAAGTGCAGTAAGCCAGTAAGCCCCTTGAGACAGTCAAAAGACACGGTCTTCAATGTCCCACCTCCACCCCCTCCCCCTGCTTTCCCCCACTCACTTTCTTTCTAGTCTCTAGCCTAGAAGGAAAGAGAAACATATACTCATAGATTCATTTTCATATCTCTATATGAGCACCAGCACAACGTAAGCAAGCATTTAGAAATTATACAAGGTTACAGAAAGTATTACATTATATATAAACCCTTCTCTTTACATACACAATAGTTTCCATATAAGCAAGAGGAAGGGTTTGCTACATGCAAGATTCATCCTTTTTGGCCACCAAAACACTAAATTAAAAATCAAGGGAGGCATCGAACAAAAAGCAAGAAAAGCAAAAGATTGCATTGGATTTTTACCATTCTGGCAGCCTTTCATCCTTCAGGATAGGACTTTGCCATTTCTCAATCTCCTCTTCCCACCGCTTGTAATCTATAACCAACCAAAATATAATAGGTGTTAGGTACCAATATGAAGTTAATAGAAACTTATGATCACTTAAATAAAAAAGCTATGAAAACAAAGCAAAAAGCCATATTGGAAAATATGATTCCATCAGGTAAATTGAAATGATTAATGATGCCAAAGTCAATGACTTGGAAAAAGAAAATACTACACTGAAATGAAAAGATATTCAAACCAGATACATACTTGTCAGTGCATCATGAACCAATTTCAGAGAAGCTCTTTCAGATGTGCCGTAGAATTTAGTG